ATTACCTTCTAATGATGCCTCCTTAGAAGGCCCCCAAATATCTAAATGAACACCACCTAAAAGACCCATCGATCGATGAATAGAAGTGCCAAACTCCACCTCGGTCTTCTTGCTCATACCAATGTGCTCAAAGGACTTCAATCTGTAGGTCAAAGCACTCCTCAACAATCCATGCACGACACCAATAAACAACTATCCCATAAATAAATATCTCAACCTCAACGAACGTCATAGTCTAGCCAAATCCAAAGAAGCCGTCAGCTCTCTACCAAACACCATGCTCCCAATTAAATAATATAAATTCTTCTTCTTGAAATCCTTCATCATAATCATGGACTCAAATGTAACCTTCAAAGATGCATCCTCTAAGGTCATCATATAGCCTGCTGTCTCCAAAACTCCAAGTAAAATGATGTTCTTCTTCAACTGAGGAACGAACTCACTTCATTCCACTCCCGAATCACCCCGTCACATAGCCTAATCTGAATGGTACCAATACCATTAATAGGGCATTCATGATCATTACCCATGAGCACGACATCCCCTCTTTCCAACTCCTCAAAGCTGGAGAACCAATCCCTCCTAGGAAAAATATGATATGAAGCACCCAAATCTAACATCCACTCTGTAGAGTCGGTAACACAAACTGACGGTAGTACATATAACGAGTAGCTCGAAGAATCTGAATCTGAATTGTCATCACTAGTCTTGGCAACATTCACCTCTGAATCTTGAGTAGCTTTTCCTTTATTCTTCCTGGCTCGATCTGTTAATTTTGGGCATTCGGCTATCCAATGTCCATCTTCTTTATAAAAGACACACCGATTCCTACGAACTTCAAGATGTGCCCCTCTAGACTGTGACCTCCTACCATGGTTTGGACTTTTTGCTCTTGCGACCAATGCTCTGCTACCGGCTCAACTGAAGTCTCCTTATCCTTCTTTCGAAGCTGATAATTTACAAGTGCAGCGGTGACCTTACTATACAAAAGAGATACATATCCATTAATAATAGTAAGAATGAATGTCTCATATTCCTCGTTAAGTAAGGAACTTAACAACAACAACGCCTTGTCCTCATCTTCAATCATCACATCTACATTCGCCAAATCCGCAAGAAACTTCGTGTAGTGATTCATGTGATCACCAATGGAGGTTCCTTTATTCAATTGGAAGTGGTAAAGCCTCCTCTTCAAATGTAAGAGATTATCCACACTCTTGGTCAAATACTTGCTCTCAAGGATCTTCCAAATCTTCTTAGCCGAAGTCTCATTGATCACATTATATTTCAAATCTTGAATCAAACAAGATCTAATCACACCACACATCGTTCTATTCATCTTTTTCCAAACCTTTTTCTCAATGTTGTCTGGTTTCTTGTCCAACTCTAATGTATCCTCCAAATTTTGCGCGTTGAGCGCGTCCAAGACTTCGCATTGCCAAATACCAAAATTGTTTGTGCCATTAAACTTCCCCACGTCTATCTTCATAGAGTGAGTATTCAAACTTTGGACAGTCTTCACGTCGGAAGTACCCTCCACAACTCCTTCTTTCTCGGCCATCTATCTCAAAGCACCAACAAACCAATGCGAAACAAACGAATAATAGATCCAAACTAAAAAAGAGAGATTTTTACCTCCAAATTATAACTTTAACAAGAGCCTCCGAAAGATCTCACCTCCATACGATGGTAGACAAGATCACCAATAGTAAAAATCTCATATTTATCACCAACTGAACGCCCTAGACGAACTTCCAAAGCGATCTACTCTTCCAAATAGCCCAAGCGTAGCCCGAGCTCTGATACCATTTGTTGTGCGCGGCAGCCAAATTGTTATGCTTCGAGGAACTAAACCAAAACGTCGAGATAGAAGGCTAAATAATCCAAGATAACGACACAAACACAAACAACCAAATTTTACGTGGTTCAGCAAGTTGCCTACGTTCACGGGGCAAGAAGGGGATGTGGTTTTCACTAATAGAGAAGAAAAGTACAAACTGAGATTATAAATCACTCAAAATAACCAACTAATCTTACCAACAAATCTCTAATTCTCTTCAAATAAAACTCTAACTAATAGCTCAGAAAATACATCTTTTCTGTGCTCCAAATATCTCCCAATCAATGCTTAATCAAAGCCCAATCAAAACTAAAGAAACCCTAAAAACGTGTCTCCATTTATAACAAAACACAATCCCAAACAGATTGAGATTCTAAAAAACGAGTCTGCCATACCCGAGGGTGGCAGATACCGCACCCCTGAAAACAGGGCAGATTCTGCCACACCTGGGTTTGGCAGACACCACACCCATGTCAACAGGGATAGATTCTGCCACCTGAGTGTGACAGACACCACAACAGGGTGTGGTGGAGCATGTCTTGGTTATTTTTCACGTTTTTCTCAAATTCCTTCACCGTTTTCACACCTATGTGATACTCACATGATAAGTCTAGAACTTTTTCACACTTAAATTTCATTAAACTAACTATTAAACTCACCTTAATTCTATTTTTACCTACCTCAATTTTATTTTAAAATAGAAATTGGATAGGTTTAAGAGTGAATTTAACACAAAATTAAGGATAAAAAAGTTAAAAACTAGCATCTGACCGATTTATGAGAATTTTCAAGAAAACATTCTCACATCTACATATCAAAATGTATTAAAGTGCAAGATTTTAAAAACCCTGGGGTAAATAAGTGCTGCTAAAAAAATTAGTGTATTAAAGTGCAAATTTTAAAAAACTCCCCTGTTTGGATGGAGGGTAGAGAGGGGGGATGGAAGGGAAATTTTATTTTAACCTTGTTTGAGAGTTGAGGAAGGGAATGGAGGGGAAATTTGGCTCAAATTCTTACACCCCAAATTGGTGTGTAATGGAGGGGAAGAGAATGAAGGGGAATTTTTTCTCTTCCTTCCCCTTCCTTCCCTTTCCTAAGTAAACTCACAAACACACCACTAGGGTATGTAAGTGCTGCTAGAAATTTGAGGGTATATATCTGCAAAAAAGGGAGAACTACAAGGTATTTAAGTGCTAATTTGCCGAAAATCAATGAGGGCTCCACTCTAGTGCATAATGTATTGTGTATTCAATCTAGCAGGATACTTCACTCCGTAATTTTAAAACAATTTATATAAAAGCTGCATAAACTACTACAATAATCTCCAGTGCGCCTTTTGAGATCCAAGGAATAACAATGCAAGTGGCTCAAATATTCTGATCCGATACAAGAAATCAGTAGCACAATAAGTTGGTGGGGAGCTCAATCAACATTCTTCCGACATTAAAAATTATCGCAAAATTAAAAAAAAAACAAAAAATCAACACCATTAATTAATCACCTCTCTTTATAAATTATATTCTTTTCCCCTTCCCGCCTGCATCTCTCACGATTTAGATTCTGATTTCTTTCCACATTCATGAACAGTTCATGATATTAGCAAGCCCCATTAAAAGTACGGCCTTTTTTGGGCGCTAAGGACAAAAGCAAGCAGTGGGAGCAGAGAAAGAACATTAGGGTTTCGACCCAATTTGAGAAACTCGTGGTTTGTGCTTCTTTACTGCTTATTTGGCTTTGATTGGATGTGGGTTTTCTTTACAGCTCACTGCTTTTGCTCCTTTTGAGTTAGATTTGAGATGGGTTTTTGAGCTGGTAACTTACTGTCTCAAATAATTTGATGTGATGCAAATCTAACGTGTTTGGTTGCTGATTTCAATTGGGTTTTTGCTTAAAAAGTTGCAAATTTACCTGTTTTCGCTGTTCATCTCTGCATTAGGACTTGTCATTGTCTCCAGCAGTTTGATTTGATGTTAGTCTGTAAGTAGATTTGAGAACGGAGTTTGTCTTGCAGGTTTCTTCTTGTTTATGATGGAGTTGGAGTGGGTTTTTCTTAAAAGGTTGAAATTGTAATTCACAAATGTAGGTAGATTTCGATATGAAGTGGGTTTGAGAATTGGGTTACTTCTAGACTGAGAAAATACCTTTTATTCTTTCTTTGATATGCTATCAGTTAGTTACTAAGATTATTGTGAATACTGATGAGCAAAATTAGCTCCTTCCGCATGTTCTTGCTTTCTTTGTCTTTTCCTTTGCCAAATATCTCTATACTGTGTCTTTTTTTATAATGGAAAACATTAATAGATGGGTTTTCTTGTACCTCTAACAAGTGGGATTTCTGCTTGTTTGTTCTGGATTAATGGGTTTGTTTTCTCTTAGAGTGTTAAGATTTCATCTAGTAATTATATTTGCATCCTGAGCAATTTCAGCAATTTCATATTGAGTACACTATTACTAAGAGTTGAAGCTTAAAATGGATGATGATTAGTTTAATGGCTTCCGCCAATAAAGCCTTGCATTCCCCTTGCAAAATATCTCAATGGTCCCACGATATATCTTTGTTTACTTGACATTTTCAGATAATTATAAAAAATATTTTTTTCTCTTCAGTTTCTATTAGTTGGGCGTAAAAGAAAATGAAATATCTTTTACATCTTGCAATTCTCCCCTAATGGGGATAAGATATCTCCGGGGATCCACAATCTCTTCTTCTTCTTCCTCCTCCTCCTTTTACAGCTATATTGAATAGAAACTGATGCATTAATGGCTGGTTGGTGTTGGTGGGTGGGCTGAGATTACTATGAAAGAATTAGAGGTTGATACACTTCATTTCACATGCTTTTGCTTCCTGTTCCAAGACATTTCCAGGGGATCCACCGCCAATATTATCTTCTCGCCTTCCAAGGTTGAACAACTATTCAGGCTTCTGAATCTAGAAAGTAAGAGTACAATGTTCTCTTTTTTAAATTAGTTTATGTTTTGTGCATCGTTAGCTAATGTGTGCATAATTTGAAGGGCCGACTAATGTAGGAAAGAAAATTGAGAAATAAGTTCTTGTTCAATTAATCCCCCCCCACCCGTCCCCCCCCCGCCCGCTTCTTTTTCACTGCCCTTATTTTCAGCTTTAGGTTTCTCACATGCTCTTGCCTTATCCTTTCCCCGTACCAAAATATCTCTTTGTCCCAATCATCTTTGATATTGCATATTTGGACTTTTTTTTTACTATTTACTTTCACTTGAACTACATCAATTTTGATAAATTTCATCTTGAGCATGTGGCGTTAGAGCCTCTCTTTAAAGGAGCAGTTGGATTCATCTGAGATTTCCACATGTGTCTGTCCTTCACATCTACCAAGTTTTATTTCTTCAGTTAATGGTCGTTAATAAGCTAAGAGGCTCTTTATGAAAGTGGTGGGACTTTACAGGATATGGACTGTGACGCCTTCTTCTATATAAACTTTGTCATCTGGATATAATATTTAGAACTATAAAAAACCTTGTGGAGTTATTGCTCCTCTCAGTCTTAGGTAAAGGATGCATCATGTGTGGAGCAGTGTTTGTGAGTGGTGATGATATCTTCCTTTCCTTTTATATCTCTGGATCCTCTTTTTTCTTTTTGATCTTCACTTTGTTGGTTGCTCTGTGTACTCTATATAATAAATTTGGCTTTTCTTGCAGATCTGCTCATGGATTGATATAGATTAATAATTACAAAGTGCAACTGCAAATCCAAGTTCCCGCTTGAGAATGGATCCCGAGATAGGAAATTTAAGTTTTCGAAAGGTCTGTAGTTTACTTTTCAATCTCTAGTTGCATCCTGGTGCTTTTGTTCTAATTGCACGAATTAATGGGTTGCATTTCCAAGTGTAGATGATATCACATTCTTTTTAAATGGTAGTTTTTATAGCTTTCATGATTCACTCAGTTTACTGATAACTTTGAGCAAATACTTTCTTTCAGAAGGAATCTTGGAAGTCCATCTTGCTTTTAGCGTATCAGAGTCTAGGAGTTGTTTACGGAGACTTGAGCATCTCCCCTTTGTATGTCTACAAGAGCACATTTGCAGAAGATATAACACATTCAGAAACGAATGAAGAGATTTTTGGTGTTCTTTCATTTGTGTTCTGGACACTGACTCTTGTCCCTCTCTTCAAGTATGTGTTCATAGTCCTTAGAGCTGATGACAATGGCGAGGGTAAGTATTCACAATCCTTTCTTCTCTGTTGATTTTGCTGTTGATTGATGCAGTATTTACCTTCATTATTTATGTAGTGCAGGTGGGACATTTGCACTTTATTCTTTGATATGCAGGCATGCCAATGTTAGCCTTTTGCCTAATAGACAGGTTGCAGATGAGGAGCTCTCTACTTATGTGCTGGAAAATGCTAGAGAAGCTAAGAATAAGTCTAGGACACAAAATTGGCTAGAAAAGCACAAAAACCTGCATGTTGTGCTGCTAATAGTTGTTATGCTGGGTACTTGTATGGTGATTGGTGATGGCGTCCTGACTCCGGCTATATCAGGTATCTTTATTCTGTTTGCTTCTTTCATCTTATATTTGGAATCTTCTCTGATGCCGCTGATGGAATTTGTACCCGTTCCAGTTTTCTCTGCAGTTTCTGGACTTGAATTCTCTGTGTCGAAAGACCATCGTGAATGTAAGCTTTCTAGTCTTACCATCAATATTTGGTTTATATACTATTCATCTAGGTCCTGTTTAGCCTATTTAAATATAGACCCATGAGTTCCTTTTCATCTAATCTTTTTAGCCACTCCTCTTTATCAATGTTGAGAAAAGCAACAACTGGCTAAACTTCTCAGGCACTTTATCTGTTTATTTTCCAGACTTTTTCTCTTTCAAACAATTCTGATCCCGATAATTTTCTAATCCAGGATGCTACATCTGTTTTGTGAGAGGAGAGAGTCTTAAGAGCTCCTATGTTTTACTCGCTTTTTCTAAGAAGACCCTATGTTTTTATTGTTAACAAAGAAGCCCCTAAGTTTTACCCCTCTTTGCCACAAAGCCCTCAATATTCTTTTTCTCCCCCTCCACAATAAAGCCGCTCAGTACTACCCTTTTCCTTTAAAAGGTCCTTAAGTTTTAACCTTCTATTCTAGGAAGCCCTCAAAGTCCTCTTGTTAACTTAGAGATTTCGTTATTAAAAAAAGAAAGTTGGGGGCTTCTTACAAGAGTGGGGTAAAACTCAGGGCATGTTTGTCAAAATTAGAATGTTAGGGGCTTCTTAGAAAAGATAGGTAAAACTTATGGGCTTCATTGTCAAAAATAGAAACTTAGGCTTCTTCGAAAAAGAGGAGTAAAATTTAGGGGCTCTTTAGACTATATTCTCGTAACCTTTAAGATCCAATTATGTAATTGATTTGCTACTGTTATGGCTGATCTTTTGCACGAAAACAACTTTTAATGTGAGAAAACATAAAGTTGTTATTGCTCTTACCATGTTGTGGCAACAATTAAAAAAAAAAAATCTTTGCCCATAAAAGATGTACTTAGCATGCAGCAAAGGACCCCTTGAAAGGTTTGCTTTAAACTTAATATTGACTTGACATCTATCTTGCAAAAGTGCCAAATTGCTTATTGGGAAAATTGGCGAAAGAGGGGCTTGCTATAAATGCTAAATAGGTAGGTGGATAGCAGATAGACCTTCCTTTTTTTACTATACATTAAAAACTTGTGTTAAACAAGGATTGGATCACATCCACATTTAGTTCGAGTGTGGATTCAGTCTAGCAAAGCTATAAGGGAGAAGTTAGTCTTTCATGGAAAAAATGTTAGATTGATAAACGGTTATTTGGACTCATGACCAGGGTTAATCTTTTTGAGTCAACGTGGTTTTAAAAAGATGAGTCTAATTCATCTTCATTTATGCTCCATTGCATCCCTAACTAAAGGTATCAAACCTCAAGATTGGACAGTCTTTTGGTCACTACTTTGTTCGCATGAATATAAATCTCAAGATGGAACGTGCATGTTGTCATATTTGGTAGTTAGGTGTGACTTCGTCCAGCATGAATTGAGTTATATTGGGTGAACATGCTACCAAATTTACTCCACTAGTTGGATTTAGTTCATCTAGCAAACTTGATGTGAGATTAGTCCCACACTAGAAAGGTGGTTAGATAAATAGATTGTTAAATATCATTTGACTCATGACTTTAATAGGGTTAAATATTTTTGAGTTGATGTGGGCGTAAGGTATTAGTCTTACCAATCTACATTGTGTACCTTACAAATCTAATGCAAACAATAAGCAAACCTCAAAACTTCTCAGTCGGTAAGTTTTGAAGAAGAAAGATGCCAGATTGCTATTCTGATTCATGTTCAACTTGAAGTTCGGATAAAGCGAAAGAGCCAAGCATACCATATTCCCAATGGGAACATAAAGTTGTACATTTTGGTATCTGTCGATTCCTATTCATCATTCTGATAGTGATTAATTTACCAGTATCATATCTATAGTGAGATGCACATGCATTCTAGGAGGTCGATATTCTTGTGGGAACCGGTGGGCTCAGCACGAAAAGTTCCTCTAGAGTGCATTAAAAAGAACATGCTTATAGATATTTTGACTCTTGAAAAGGGCAAGTTGAGTTGCTTTGCAGATAAACACTATTTGATGTGGGTTGCTTTTTGGTTGTGAATTTGGGTAGCTCATTCAAGCCCTTCTGTATGTAGAGAGGCTAAATACAAAATGTGTGCGCTATAATCATTCTTGTGCTGCTTCTTTTGTGATTGAAAAGCATCATTCATTAAAAAGGACTGTAAGACGCAAAGCTGTCACTAGGTTTATAGATGTGAGATACATAATGTTAGTTGAAGTCAAGAAGGACTTCTTCTGAAGTGCTATTTGACCTATTATTGCAGTTCAAAAGAAGGCAAAAGTTGATTGTACCTTTTGCAGTAACACTGCCATTTGAGCTGCACTATTAGGTTAAGAGGAGTATCCTTGAGAAAACATCTTATATTCTCTTTGATGCGTAATAGGCATGAAATAAAATCTTGTTGCCAAAAACTATATCCGCATGATTAAAATGCTTGATATTTCTAGGATTACTTTGTAATTAGAAGTTAGAACATTCTTTTACCAGCTATAAGATGAGTTCCATATTCCAATGGTCAATTTGTTCGAAAAAAAAACTGATGATAGTTAACAGTATGGACTGTCATCAGTAGGTTCCACTGAAAGGTATTTTCTGTTCCTTATGTCTAGACCACCTTTTAGAACTGGTTGTTCTTATCTGATTTGTTTTTTATATAAATTTTCTTATTCAGATTGCTTAACATTAATAACCTAGATGTTATGTTTACAGCTTAGTTGCAATAGATATTTTGTTCTGAAATGGAAATTCCATGGTTATAAAAGATTTTAAAAAAATCCAGCTATTATTTCGGAGGTTTTTGTGTTTATCTCAACCGACTTAAGCGTCAATCTTCTACAATTTTTCAATGTTTTTTCTGAAATTATTTAAAATCAAAAGGTGTTCATGATTAACCTTTCAATCTATATGTATCCCTGTCCTTTGAACAGAATCAGACGGAAGTATGTGGATATTGCAGGATTTACCGAGATGAAAGACAACGGATTTGTCTTTCATTGAGTGAGAAATCTTTGTTGCTGCAATTATTTGATGAATTCTTCCTTTATTTGCAGATGCTGTGGTTCCAATCACTTGCTTCGTGCTGTTGTGCTTGTTTGCCCTCCAACATTTTGGCACTCACCGGGTTGGATTCTTATTTGCGCCAATTATTCTAACTTGGCTATTATGCATTAGTGCCCTTGGCATATACAACATCATCCATTGGAATCCTCATGTTTATCAAGCCCTTTCTCCATATTATATGTTTAAATTCTTGAAGAAGACCAGAAAGGGTGGATGGATGTCTTTAGGAGGAATACTACTTTGCATAACAGGTGATCTTTTGCTAAGATAAATATCAAGTAATAAAAAAACTATATATTTCCATTTTACTATAGTCGAATGTTTACCATGTTGATATAAGTACAATTGCAGGCTCAGAGGCAATGTTTGCAGATCTCGGTCACTTCTCATACACTGCTATTCAGGTTTTCCCCCTTTCGCTGAAAACTTAACAGGGTAGCTTATTTTTATATTTAGTTTTTGACTTACAATAGGCTGAACTCTATGTATATTGTAGATTGCCTTCACCTTACTAGTTTACCCAGCGCTAATATTGGCATACATGGGTCAAGCTGCTTACTTGTCACAGCATCATAATACCAGCTACCAGATTAGCTTTTATGTATCAGTGCCAGGTAGATATTAGATTTCTTACTCCAAAAGCATTGTTTGTATCTACTAAATTTCTAGTTAGCGGGGAGTAGCATAGAAGAATGATATCCTGCTTTTAACATCAAGAATCATGATCACTTTGCGAGCAGAAAATATAGGGGTAATGTCAATTTCCTGCATCAATTACTGATATGCAAAATGTTATACTCAAATCCGACCCACCCCTTGTGAAAGAATGATACACAAAAAGTTATACTTCAGAAAGCATCAAATACTGATGGTGAAACTGTTATCTCGATTGACTTTTATTGAACTTCAGGAATCATTAGTTTTTCATTGGTGATGGTTATGCTACAAATCTTTGTTATGGATCAAAATTGTGGAGTCTGGCATAATTACATTTATATCCTCGTATTCTAGATTTTATACTTAGATGAAGAATGATTCCAATCTTTAAGGACCTTGTATCTGATTTTTTTTTAATTCTCATCGCATTGCAAATTATTTTTTTCATTAATTCCAACTCAAACTGCTTGACTATGTCTGAATTTGAGGAAATACGCTTCAATGAGGTAGTTGGTCGTAAAAGTAGTTGTTTGTTTAAAAGCTCCCATACGCATCATTCTCTTTGTGATGTTTTTTTGTTCTTTTTTGCATGTAGAAAGTGTGAGATGGCCTGTTCTTGCTATAGCAATACTAGCTGCAGTGGTGGGAAGCCAAGCAATCATCAGCGGGACATTCTCCATCATAAATCAGAGCCAGTCTCTTGGTTGCTTTCCTAGAGTTAAAGTAGTTCATACTTCTGAGAAAATACATGGTCAGATCTATATACCAGAGATCAACTGGATGCTCATGGTTCTTTGCATAGCGGTTGCTGTTGGGTTCAGAGACACAAAACGCATGGGCAATGCATCGGGTATGTTCTACTGATTTTAAAATTTCATAATGTAGTTTTATCACTTGAACCAATTGGGTGATTTTGTTTATTCAAGATGGTCTATTTTGCTTTTATATCTTGATGATATGTTTTCAGAAATATTTACTGATACGTATTTCATGGTATACGAATACAGGACTTGCAGTAATCTCAGTGATGCTGGTTACTACATGTCTGACATCCCTCGTTATGATCCTCTGCTGGCGTAAACCTCCACTCCTCGCTCTCAGCTTCCTCATTTTCTTCGGGTCCATCGAGGCCCTCTACTTCTCCGCCTCTTTAATCAAATTCCTTGAAGGTGCTTGGCTCCCTATCCTTCTCGCACTCATCCTCATGTCCGTCATGTTCATATGGCACTATGGCACCATAAAAAAATATGAATCTGACCTATACAACAAAGTATCCCTTGACTGGCTCCTAACTCTAGCTCCAAACCTTGGCATTGTCCGTGTCCCTGGTGTCGGTCTCGTGTACTCTGACCTAGTCTCTGGCATCCCCTCCAATTTCTTTCGATTTGTAACCACTCTTCCTGCCTTCCACCGGATTCTTGTTTTTCTTTGCGTGAAATCTGTACCCGTCCCCTTCGTCCCGCCTGCTGAGCGATACCTCGTTGGGCGCGTGGGCCCACCCTCGCACCGGTCCTATCGATGCATTGTCCGCTATGGTTACCGTGATGTCCACCAAGACATTGACTCATTCGAGTCTGAGCTTGTTTCCCGCCTTTCTGACTTTATAAAACTTGAATCAGCTTATCAATGTGCAAGCAATCCGAAGGAAGACGGTTTAGCTGTTATTGGGTCGAATGATGAGAGTATTGGACCCATTAACGGGAAGAAGGTTCGGTTCTTAGTTGAAGAAAATGATAGTTTCGAGGTCGCGAAGGGAGTGAGGGATGAGCTCGAGGATTTGATGGAGGCGCGTGAGGCGGGGATTGCGTTTATATTGGGCCATTCTCATGTGAAGGCAAAAGCAGGTTCGTCGATGTTGAAGAAGGTGGCGATCGATTTCGTGTACAACTTCTTGAGGAGGAACTGTAGAGGACCTGACGTAGCATTAAGAGTGCCTCCTGCATCTTTGCTTGAGGTTGGAATGGTTTATGTACTGTAACATTAGCTTCTGTACTTGCATTTTGTTCCTTTCTCAAACTTATGCTATCAATTCCTCAAGATAATGTAAATACCACTGAATGTTGGATTTGAATACTTGAGAGCTGTAGTTTCGATCAACTGAACAGAAAAGCTGTTTGTTTTGCGGTCACACTTGATACTCGGATGTTGTTAGCTTGTTACGATCAGTTACTTTTGACTTGTTGATTATGAGGAGCGAATTCTGGTCTCTTCAAGTTATTTGAACTTTTAGTTTAGAGCTGGATGGAAATCACTATAATTCTCCTATTTTCCTTCATTGTTTTTTTAGTTTTTCATACTTATTTTCCTTTTCATCATCCTCTCTTCTTCTGATTGTCTTTGCCGTTATTACACTGTGGCATCAGATTGGATCGTCTCTTCTCTCGCACTTCTCTTTATATATTATTTTGTTTTTTAACAATATTAGAATTGCATAATTAATTTAAAGTAAAAGTAACTGATCCATAATTTATAAAAAATAATAGATGTTGAAGGATGGGGGGAAATATATGGGAGCATAGAAGAAAGAAAATGTAAAAAACATAAACACTTCTGGACTTTTACTATAATAGTAAGTCAAAATTTAACAGAAGTTACAGATCATAATAGTAATTAATAACATTTATAATATAGTCAAAAGTTATTCAAGATTATTAACATTATAGTAAATAATTATTCATTAAAAATATATAAATAGTATTCATATATCATCAAAATTATTAAATTATATACTTGTTGATTGTTGCAAATTATCTCACTAATTTTACTAAGATTTCTCATTTCATTATGTCAATAAAATACCCACTTTCAAAAATTGCCTTATTTTATCAATTATCCATGTCCTAATAAACAAAATAGCGTTTTTTTATAGAAATCATCTTTAAGATAGGGTGATTGTACGAAAACTATCTTTGAAGTCTAATTTATATAGAAATTATCTTTGAAATTCCGCTGGCAACCAACCACCTTTACCTATTTTCTGAAGAAATATCAAATAAAACTTTCAAAATCTTATTTATATTTATATATACTTATACTCCCTTTAAAAGAGGGAGTTGTGGAAAACTTTCCAATGACTATATTACCCCTTTTGATATTACATTCTATTACTAACTAAACTAAATTAATTGTCGTTGTTAATTAATTATACTATATGTCACTTCAAGTTTGTATAATTTGGTCCCTAAAACTTTTAACATTATTGTAAAACTCTACATCATATTTTTTATTAATAATTATAATAATATATTAATAGATAATTGCATATTAATAAAGTCTACATGGAAAGAGTAGAAAACATAGAATTGTCCTAAAAATACTATGACACTCATATAGGAAAATTACAAAAACATTCTTATGTTTAGGTAATAGGACAAAAAGTACATACATAAAATTTTAGAAAACATTAAGATATTTAAGTGTAGCAAGATACAAGTGGGGATATATAAGTATAATTTTGGTAATTTTAGAAAACATTAAGATATTTAAGTGTAGCAAGATACAAGTGGGGATATATAAGTATAATTTTGGTAAACTATAAGTAATTTAAGTTCAGTAAGTGTAGCAAGATACAAGTGGGGATATATAAGTATAATTTTGGTAAACTATAAGTAATTTAAGTTCAGTTAAGCCTATAAAAAATTGTAACCTTTGTTATCTACAAACAATAGTACATAATCCCACTGATAAATAATATTCATCATACAATATGAGGCTACATGCTTAGCTTATGTACTCCTCTATACTTAAACGAGGATCCAAAGATTTATTATTTATGCTACAGTAAATAATACAGTAAAATACTATAGCATGAATAATAAATCTTTAGGTCTCCTTTAAGTATGGAGAGTAAATTTACTATTCATGCTATAATAATTTACTATATCATAAATAGTACTCTTTTAAGTATAGAGCAGTAGATATGATTTCTAATTTTAAGCATATAATAATCAAATCAAATGTATTAAATCTTAGTGGGAAGTAGGTTCAAAATGCAATGCTTAAAAAACATCATATTTTGAATGAGTTTTAAGATTTTGAATTATTTCCTGAAATTATATACTTTGCTTAGAAAACTTTAGAATAAGCTTTTGAAGGACTACTACAAGGTGGTGGACATAAGATAAATATTAAACAAATAAAATCTATGATATCAGATTGCAGAAATCGGGAATATGTATACAATATTGGGCATCATATGAGATAATATTCATACATAACATAATATATGTTTGCGTCAAAAGTTAGTCTCGTCGTGGAATTCATTATATCTTCGGTCGATTACAATAAATTCAAAAGAAATAGGCTTTTTATAAGACTTCTTTTACACAACAAAAATGAAAATTACAACTTTTTAGAAACAAACGCATGATCGTTATTTGGATCGCTGTTTGCGTGGGATCTTTGCCTGTGCTGGGAGCGCTTTGGCTCGTGGATCACCAAATCACAGATTCTGATTGAACTGTGAAGGGTTTAATGATTCTTCCTTCGTTTATCGAAGTAAGAATTTAAAGCGAATATCTTATCGATGTAAGATATTCACTCTTCTAAAGATCAAGTCAGAGCTTAGATCTCTAGGAATCGCCAGAAACTTCTTGAGGATGTTTGTGAAGAAGGAAGACTCTCTTTCTTGCTCTAATTCACCAAAACTCAAGGCTCTCTGCTCTAATCTACTCTGGAAATGCTCAGCCCCTGTCAATGATGGCCATAGGGGGGTATTTATAACCTCCTTAGACGATAACTGAAGGAATAGCCGATCAACAACTGCCTCTTTAGGCGCGGCAGTTGATGCTGTCGCGACTAAAGGGCGCGACAGTCGACACTGTCGCGGCCAAAGAGCGCGGCAGTCGACACTGCCGCGGCTAAAGGGGCAGTTACACCCACGTTCATACGTGTTTGAAACTATTCTCCCACGACCTTTAAACACCTTTTTCGTGGTTTAACTGCTTGTCCACGTCAGCACACGTTCTATCTCTGATATGCGGCCACGTGGACTTCAAATAATCATCATGTAACTGTCTTATAACTGCCGCATCACCTCCTATAATAGCCACGACACCTTTAACTGCCGCGCCTAAGGCGTGACACTCTTAACTGCCGCGCCTAAGGCGCGACACTTTGAATTGCCGCGCCTAAGGCGTGACACTCTAAACTGTCGCGCCTAAGGCATGTCACCCTGGCTTGCTTGTTGGTGTATCGTTGTGTCTACACTGTTCTTTTCTCATCCTTGAGTAGTGTTTAGATATTTTATGAGCATTTTTTGACGCCTACAATATAATATGTAATCTAACATATTGATGAATTTTAAAAATAACAATTTGCATCGAGATTTGCGTAGAATGGTCTGTGCACGATATCAATTCTTGACTTCTTCATCTTTTAGCTTATTCAGTGCTTTGTAGAATAGCTAAAATTCCTCCGGTGCTGCGTTTATCGCGTGTCCGTTGTCGAAGTCTTGAATTTGAACTGCCGTCGAAGAATGGAAAAATAGTTTATACTCATATACTCTATTGGAGTGTTCGGGAAATAGGTTAACCTCATATACCCGTTGGGAGGTAATCAGGTTATTCTTAAGAATATTCTGAGTAATATTCTCCAGAAACTTCCTGTTGAAGGTAGGGAAACAGTTTAGACTCATGTACCTATTGGAGTAATATGATCCCTTTTTTGTTGGTAGAGATGAACCCAATGATGGAGAGAAAGAATTTTATATTCTATCTCCTGGTCTCTTGTTTGTTGGTAGAGATAAACCCGAAATTGGAGAGGAAGAATTTTATATTCTATCTCCTGGTCTCTTGTTTGTTGGTAGAGATGAACCCGAAATTGGAGAGGAAGAATTTTATATTCTATCTCCTGGTCTCTTGTTTGTTGGTAGAGATGAACCCAATGATGGAGAGGATGAATTTTATATTCTATCTCCTGGTCTCTTGTTTGTTGATAGAGATGAACCCAATAATGGAGATGAAGAATTTTATATTCTATCTCCTGGTCCCTTGTTTGTTGGTAGAGATGAACCCAATGATGGAGAGGAAGAATTTCATATTCTATCTCCTGGTCCCTTGTTTGTTGGTAGAGATGAACCCGATGATGGAGAGGAAGAATTTTATATTCTATCTCCTGGTCTAAAGAAAGCTCGAAGTGAGATTTCCACTTAGAGAATCTGAATTGGTTTGAACAATCCCAACTGTCATAAGGTTTGATCAAGTGAGATTGGAAGCAATCCTAACTTTTATAGGTTTGATTGCGCAAATCGAAGGTGGACCTCTCGTTCATAGAAGGAATCAAGAGGGGATTTTGGCTTTGGTCCTAACTGTTTAAAGGTTTGACCAAGTGGGAGTTTTGAGGCGATCCTGACTGTTTAAAGATTTGATCATTCGATTTGTGGACCTCTCGTTCATGGAAGGAATCAAGAGGGGATTTTAGCTTTGGTCCTAACTGTTTAAAGGTTTAACCAAGAGAGAATTTTGTGAGGGAAGACTGATCCAACGAAGTGATCGAATCTCACCTTAGCAAAAGAGTATTCGGAAATCACCGTGGGGATGTAGTGTTTATCACTTTGTTTGTAATAATCGGGTTATCCCTAAGAAAATTACATATAGCATTCTTCCGAGAACTTCCCGTTACATGAACCATCCACCCCCAGCTTCCTTCGCGAAACTGGGTCTAACATCAAACTGAGTTACTCCCGTGAAAGAAAGGAAATAGTTTAGACTCATATACCTGTTGGAGTATCGAGGAGCAGTTTATACTTGTATACTTTTCGGAGTGAGATGGAGAAGCAGTTTATACTCGTATACTTATCGGAGTCAGGGAAAACAGTTTATACTCGTGTACCCAATGGAGTATAAGTCATCTTTACTCGGTTTGTTTCACCGTTATGACGCCGGAGTCAATTAGGGCTTGGATTTTTTTTTGAGTCCAAAGAAAATCTCGGTGGGATGAAGAATCCTTCTGTGGTATGCACAGTAGTTTGGATCTGTA